GGGGGGGGGGGGACGACCTTTTTCGATTAATTTAGTTTGGTTCGTATATCTATCAAATATGACGCACAGTGATGCTAACTTCTTAATACATGGTCTCTGCTCGAAATACCCTCTTTTTATGGTATCCTAAGGTTTATTGACGTGTTCAGAGGAACTCGTCGATGGACCTTATTTTGAGCGCGTTGAGTTCAGTCACTTTGTTGTGTAACATAAAATGCGTGTATAAATTTCTTCAAAAACTTTTTAACAATCTTATTGGGTTACATTTCTTCCACTCCTTGAGATATCAGGTTCATTATTAAGATGGCCGTCTTCGCCCTGATGATGGAGGCAAGATACTCCTTCGAAACGTCGTTTGATATCTATCAGACTAAACGACTCAGCAACTCGGAAGGCAGCCATCTTCATACTTCTGACTGTTGCTTCAAGATGGGTGGCATATGAAGTCGGAAGATGACGTATTTGCGATCGCATTGAGTCTTGTGTCTTTTGAATTAAGGAAAGTGCTTTGTCGTACGAAACAAAGAACGGGCTTATGCTCGTTTTGTTCGACGTTTGACATTTTGACGACCACAAGAGGAAAATTAATATGATACCGTCAGGTTGACATTCAGAAACGACCTTTAAGTACTTTTGTAAATGGACATGAGTTATAAATTACCGTCAGTGGCCTCGTGGTGTTTTAATATTTACATATAAACTCTAGGAGTGATTAAGAACTTATTTCAGTGATGGATTTAGACTGGACTCTGTTGCTACTGTTATTAATTATTGCCAACACATTACAGCACCAAATGAAAATTAATTTAAAAGCATAAACGTAAAACTAAATTAAATTAATAGTGGTAGTGCCTCATTAACATATAAACAAACCACTTATTAGCTTGTGATACGCGTTTCGGCTGCAAAGGCCGATTTTTAGTGTTAATGTTTAATGATTATTTATTTATTTTATCATGCCACGGTGAATTGCAAGTTTTATTGAATTATTTTTTGTTTGAAGTTAGCTTACTGACAACACTCGCCCTCACGGTGGAGGCAGTGAGCACCTCCGAAACGTCGGTCAGTTTCTAAGAAACTACACGATGCAACATCCCAGAAGACAGCCATCTTCCTTAAATCACACGTGAACAGGAATTGGCTTTAACTCATTGAATGTCACTGGGTTTCATTTTTAAATACTGAGACATATTTTTATCTGAGAGTTTGGTGTATGTTTAATGTAATTTCATGGTGTAATTTTGATGGTAATAGTTGTGTAATGTTTAACATATTTTGTGTTCAGAACGAGCTGTTAGTTTTTTTTTTAAAAAAAGGCTGGCCCCCTTCGACTTCGACTCCACAAAACCTTGTTGTGTGATGCAAATACTCCACTTCGCAGGGGCGCCATCTGTTGCTTTGGGCCTTATGTTATTGATGACTTGTGTGTCGCTGAATGTTCATGGTACCTGCTGCTTCTATAAATTATATAAGCATCATTTGCCCCTCTCACATTAACGTTGGTCGGTGTTGTCATCGGAGGATTAAGCCATTAGCCGTGTTCCTGTGTCAACACCCATTAATCTGCCTTCTTCGAATACATCTTCTCTCGCCAGTCCTCTAGTTTGTTGTATGTTTTGGAATCGACTGTAGTTCCTGCTGTTTTGTGTGTGTACTCGCTCATTTTTTTCCAACTCAGAATTTTGTTTTTTTCTAGTTTCAACCAATAAATTGTTTTCATTTATAATCTTTCTGCCCGTGAGTCGATGGAAAAAGGTGAATGTGGCCCAGGGTATGGTAAAGTTTGTGAACCCCTATCTTGAACGGTGAGGAATTGGAACAGAAACTTGTTCTGAAGAAAGACGACGGCAGTGAAGTGGAACCTTACCACCGTGTTTTTTACCTTCAAGATCGTCCCGACTGGGACAGCACTTTCGTAGTCGAGAGAGATGCTGCTAACAGCATCTATCGATACAGTAAAATAAACTATTGAGGCAGTCAATCCTAGGCGGAATCTTTAACCCTTTTAAGACCCAGTGGTAACTATATGTACCACCTGCTTCACACAGTTAATAACTCTGCGTTTTGTATGTATGGGTTTCGGATGATTTTCAGTGTAAACGGCGATTATTTCCTTAAACAGCGTCAACCAGTTGTATTACGTAATGGTGAAGTGTAGTGTTTTCTTCGCGGTACGGACTGATTTATTAAATAATATTTAGACGAGCGTCGGATTCAAAGGGTTAAGCAGCTATCACACAGCCAGAACGATCATTGACGTATTAACAATGTGAGCTACTGACAGCGTCGTTAAATAAATTACGCACGAATAAACAAACCACCGTCTTATGTAGCAACAGGCCTGTAGGATAGGTGGGCAATTTTTAAACTCTTTTGAAGTACAGAGTTAATAAACATTATATTTAAGAATTCAGTCCGTACCACAACGCGTCTCCATTGCAAGGATCACTTGGTTTATGCTATTTAGGGACATAATAGAGGTTTATTATGAGAAACACATCGGTATACTTCGTGGGCAGAATTCAGAGTTACTGAATGATAAAACAGATGACATCTAGTGACCGCTCAGCTACGTTGTTAGTAAAGGGGCTTTCAGTATCAATATTGTGTCCAATTCGTACTTTGTCACACCTGTCTTAACAGTATCATCTGGTTCCGTTTTTAAGTTGGTATTACTTGTGTTTCGCGGGAGAAATCCCTCGTACTGCGCAACTGTTCGTTGCGACCTCTCTCGATAAAACGTCGGAACTAGCTACGTCGGCAAAGGAGTTGTCTTTTTTTCCTCGCGGTGCGTGCGTCCATCCCACCTTCAGTGCGTCAGTCTGTAGGAATCGTCGGTGCTAAAATAGCGTTTATAGTTGGGATCTTGCCGGCTGCATGTGTAGAAAAGTATGCCGTCCGGTGTGTGAGATGCTTAGTTCGCGGTAAAGTTTTTAAAAGAACACAGTGACTTCAGCAATAGCTGATAATTTGTATGAACGGGCGAATAGAAATATCTGTAAGCGTATATTAAAACGTTTAATATCAGCGTACGTGTTATATACCTTTTCTCGTTGGTCTGAAGTACGTTGTTATAATGCTGTGTGTGTGTGTGCAGCGTTCTGCAGGTGTAAGGAGTGGTTTCAGTGTCCTGTGCAAAATGGATAATGGTTTCTTTAATTTGCGCCGCTGTGAGTGAGATTGTGAGGTTCGGCATATCCACTCCTTCAACCGGATCCCACTAGTATTGATTATGCTTCTACGTGCTTTTAACGGCTCGTATACGTTGCATTACCACTTGCTATTGTTTGATTTGCCGTAGGAATGCAATGTGTAATGATATTGGCCTATACTGAGCCATCCCTAACATACTAAAGCATATAGGCGTGACTTTTATAATGATTCTTACACCCTACAGATCACGCATGAGGTGTTATCTTTTTCAAGATCAATAAGTGTTTTTGAAAGGGTTGTGTTCTTAAGGAAAATAAGAGCTTGATGGTGTGTGGAGAAATTATTTTTTTTTTGTAACTGGCAGGAGGTTGCTGCAGTATGCATGAATTTTGTAATGTGACCATATAAATAATGATAGGTTCTCTTTAATTGGTAATGCTAGAATTATATTCAGAACTGATTCCAACAATGTGCAGTAAAATCAAAACCTGTCGTACTTTGACGAGTTTGGTTCCAATTGTTTACGTTTGAAGTCATCTTTAGACCACGTACAATGGCAACATTTTGATCATAAGTATTTTATCACCGATTAAAGACAATATTTATCACTTGAACCCTTTAGAACAACCTCTAAGACCTATATAACTGTTTTCTGTTTACATTTGTGGTGTTATTAAGATCAATATTGGACAGTGCACCGTGTAGGAAGGAACCTAGATAATTACTCAGAAAATTGTACGTTTTATTTGGTGCCTAGACTTTGGGTGATATTCCCGGTAAACTGTATCATTCTGTGAACTACTTTACTTGAAGGATACGTGTGAGTACAAATAACTTCACTGTGGCGAGTGAAGAATGCCTATTATTGGAATCCGTAATAGAGGTCAAGTATGTTTAACAGTCTTCTTATGTGTTACGTCACTCCAGCGTAGGAACTGTCATATAGCATGTCTGTAAATCACATCTGACAAGATGCGGTCGTGATGATGTTTTTTCCTGCTTGTTTTAAATTTTAATTCCGAATTTCCAAATACTCATTTTCAATAGGCGTCATTGTATATGAGGAAAATTGGCCACAGAAATTGTGACCTCATTACAAGACCGGTCGCTGTTCTGCCAGCCTTGTGACGTGTCATGGCAGCAATTTGTGTTTGTTACGTGCAGGCGTAAAACAAGATTTTATTTTGGAGATACTTTATTGTTTGATTACACGATGTTCAAAAAAATAGTACACAGTGCGTCACAGTGAACGAAACTTCCCATCAAATCTGAAGTGATATAATTTATATCAACCGTAACTACGTCAGCGAGTGCCATGTTTTCTTAGCAGTCATGAAAATATGTATATGACGATGACTCTGATAGATTTAGACGCTCTATGCAAAAAGCACGGCAGACGACGATGTGGCCAATTCTGTCCATCTGTTCACAAGTTGAGGCAGCTGCCAGCTTTCACTTCCCGTGAACAGTCATGAAACGATTATATTCAAAGGTATTTAGAGACAAACAGACGAGATAGTTGAGCTTCGTTTCGTAATTCGGTCCAGTACGTTCTCCATCATGCAGCATTAACGGATATTTAATATGGATTTTTTTTTATCTTAGATGTGAATTTGTAGTCGGAAATCTTTCTTCGAAGATAACGTCGTAGTATTTGGCCAAGTTGTGTGTGTGTTCTCGTTGAGCGATTTGTAGTGCAGGTTGCATCCATGTCCGCTCTCCTAAGGGACGAGTGAAGTGTCCTATTAGAAATGAAGAAAGTGGAAGATTCTTTGGAGCTGGAAGTGTTTGAAATCAAGGATAGTAACGGTGGAATCGAAATGCCGGAAGTTCCAGACTTAGGGGAAGACGACGATGATGACGACGAAATGGGCGGGGCATGTGCCCGCGGTCGTAAAAGGAGAAAGAAGAAACGTCGAAAATGTAAAAGGAGCCCTTCTGTGACAGCTGCAGTGACCCTGGCAGAACCAGAATGTGACGATGTCGACGGCGACCATATGCAAGACCCGGAAGGACCCGGTGATGGCCGTGGCTCAAGAAGAACGTCGGAGAGCACTCCCGGAAGTCGCAGGCCTACAAGTCTACGCGAATCTCTTTTTTCCGTTCTCGGCAAACTTGTGGTTTGGCGTCGAGGAACCGCGAGGTACAGGAACGGCTGTAATGGCGGCAGCGCTCAGAATATGGACTACCTCAGAGGCTTTGTTTCGACCGGTGAGTAGACTTCTTCAAAAAGTGTGTTTCGGTTTATGTAATGTCGCCGAATAGGGGGCATTGCTTATTAGTAAGGAAATGGCTGCAATGCATTTGTTTCAGGATAAAAAAAGACTTGTTTGTAATTGGAATAAATCTTGGATCTGATTAATTCCGTCTGTCACGTGTGTTTGTATGCACTTGGAAATACTCTGATGACGCACGTGAGGAAGATTGCTGGTCTAAACTGGGCTTCTGTCTGCCAGTTTGCTTGATTTATCCGTAGGGAGACGTAGTTAATTCGTCGTTATTAAATCTGTTTTTTTTTGGAGACACGCATGCGTAGAAGTGACTGGTGCGTTAACCGCTTCTTGAATTTGAACGTGTGTGGCCTGTTTTGTAAGGTAAAACGTGAAGTCCTTGACAAAGCCCAGAAACATACAGACTTAAGGGGGAGTGGAGGAAGGTCTATACCTCCACGCATTCTTAATATCGGTTGGACGTCTCGGCCGCTTTATCCCCGATGTTGGATAGGAAGCTGGGCGTGCCTCAGTTGGTTTCGACGTTGTGGCGAATAGAGAAATCGACCCCTGCTGGGAATCGAACTTCGGTCGTCCAGTCCGTACAGACTAAGGTAATTTTTTTCCCCCCGTGATTGGCAAGGTTAATTGATTATTCGGAATTGGACAGAAATTTTTACCAATCCCGGATTCACCCTGGACGCGCCCACACTCTTCGCACGCCTAAACATTGGGATCGTGGGTTTGAATCCCGTTTTGTGCGTGGATGTTCTCCCGGGGTTTTTGTTTTTATATTTTATATTCCTATTTGTGAAATTATAAGCCGGGATAGCTCAGTCAGTATAGTGACTAGCTACGGGCTGGACGACCGGGGTTCGATCCCCGACGGGGGCAGAGGATTTTTCCTCCGGCCTCTGCGTCCAGACTGGCTCTGGGGCCCACCCAGCCTCCTCTACAATGGGTATTGGGGGTCCTTTCCCGGGGGTAAAGCCGGCCGGGGCGTGATGCTGACCACTCACCCCCATCTAGTGCCGAGGTCAAGGAAGAGAGGAGCTATACCTCCTCTCACCCCAAAACGCCTACATGGCGTATAGTGGGACAAACTTTACTTTTTTACACATCTGTGAAATTAGATTGCCTTGCGATGTAGCGATCATCTCCACAAGGAATCTGAAGGTCTGTCTGAATTTGTTGCTGAAATATTTATTTTTCTAGGAAGCGGGAGGTCGTATCGGGCTGTAACACCGGAAGGAACGAAAATATTTTTTCTTGTTTCAATATCACAAATCTTTCTTCAAAACCTTCCTGCCTTAATCTGTACTTCGCTGTCGCAGAGTTTTGAAATAAGCCATTCCTTTAATGCAGCCGATCTCCTGGCATTTTCAGAATTTGTTTCCGTAGAATCTGTTATTTTCAAATTTGGTTGTAGGTTTGTGTAAATTCTTCGTCGAGAATTTTCGAGTTATTGTTGCTGTTGAATTTTTGCTTTCGTTAAACAATTTGTAATTGGCTTCGTACAGAAGAAAACTTTTTTTGTTTTGTTTCGACTTTGCGTTTTCTACAATATTTTAACCAGATTTCTTTATTTCAGAATCTTTTGTAAACATTAAAGCATACAGAAGTGTAAAGTTACTTATCTGCTCACCAGGACGAAGACCACTATGACATGCAGGGACTTATTAACTCAAGTGCTTAGAATTTGTACCTTTTGTTTCCAGATAAACTTTTTGCGGGTCTGGTAAGGTAAAAGTAACCAAACTAGAATGTGTAAAATGTACTTAATTCCCTTTTTAGATCTTGGAATATTTGTGACCTCGTTTCAAATTACAATCTGGTATTCAGTCGTGTTTTATTTTATTTTTGAATATATAACCACATCTTATAACTTCCGTTTTTGTAGACGACGATAAAATGTTAATGGGAATAAGGAATTCATGTACCAGCCATGGTTTAAAATCGAAACTTAAGCCAAATGCCAGCCATGGTTTAAAATCGAAACTTGGCCCAATATGGCATCCGTTGAAAATAACGATGAATACCGGGCTAAATTCATAAAGCTTGCTTCCTATTGAACGAACATTTATTCGTAAAAAAACCGTCTGTCTTTGAACTGTTTCTAATACGACAAAAGAATGTGATTTAGTGAGCGAAACCAAACATGCATCAGCGTTAGAAAATGTCAGACAGGATACAGAAAGTGATTAATGGCGTACTTACTTAAGAATCTTAAGTAAGTGGTTTTTAAGGAGGACAAAAGAGATCGGTGGCCCTGTGATAAGAAGTCAGAGGATGTTGGACGAGAGACGTAAGATGGGGGTTTCTTCCACATCGCCATATCGACCGAGGAAGGGTTTTAGGACCGTAATGTGTCGCCTGGTTGTCGCCGTCATCGGCGCCGTCGTCCTGGGTACGAGGTCATGCTTCGCCTTGCTAATTGTTACGTCGGCGCCAAAGATTTCATTTACCATCAGCGCAGAATTGTAATCACTAAGTGCGTATGTCATCTTGACATGAAGGCAAGAGACCACTTTAATTAATTATTTTTATAAACATTCTAATTATTTCCCGGCAGGTAATTGTAATGTTCTCACGCTTCTTAAATCTGCGATCACGTAACGGTGATACGCAGTTTATATTAACGGGAAAATTATTCGGATGATGAAAGACGTTTTCACTTTCGTAATAGCGACACAGTCGATTCTGTGAAAAATGACAGTGAACCAGTTCGTCTCTCTTCTTCCTTTAATGTATAAATTTAAAGCGTGGGTGGGAAATAGTGTTCGCCCTTTAAAACCCAGTGGTAACGATATGTACCACCTTCTTAGACAGTCAGCAACTCTTCATTTTGTATTCATTTATTTGGATAGATCTCACAATGAACAGGGATTATTTCCTTAAACAGCGTTAACCAGTAGATCTTTGTAATGGTGAAGTGTAGTGTTTTCTTCGCGGTACGGACTCAGTCATTAATATTATTTAGACGAGCTTCGGCTCCAAAGGTTAATTAGCGTTTTAGTCGTATTATTTCCTTAAACAAGGTTAACCAGTTGATCTTTGTAATGGTGAAGTGTAGTGTTTTCTTCGCGGTACGGACTGAATTCTTAAGTTTCATTTGAAAGAGCTTCGGCTCCAAAGGTTAAGTAGCGTTTTAGTCGTATTATTTCCTTAAACAAGGTTAACCAGTTGATCTTTGCAATGGTGAAGTGTAGTGTTTTCTTCGCGGTACGGACTGAATTCGTAAGTTTCATTTGAAAGAGCTTCGGCTCCAAAGGTTAATTAGCGTTTTAGTCGTATTATTTCCTTAAACAAGGTTAACCAGTTGATCTTTGCAATGGTGAAGTGTAGTGTTTTCTTCGCGGTACGGACTGAAATCTTAAGTTTCATTTGAAAGAGCTTCGGCTCCAAAGGTTAATTAGCATTTTAGTCGTATTATTTCCTTAAACAAGGTTAACCAGTTGATCTTTGTAATGGTGAAGTGTTGTGTTTTCTTCGCGGTACGGACTGAATTTTTAAGTTTCATTTGAAAGAGCTTCGGCTCCAAAGGGTTAATTAGCGTTTTAGTCGTATTATTTCCTTAAACAAGGTTAACCAGTTGATCTTTGTAATGGTGAAGTGTAGTGTTTTCTTCGCGGTACGGACTGAATTCTTAAGTTTCATTTGAAAGAGCTTCGGCTCCAAAGGTTAATTAGCGTTTTAGTCGTATTATTTCCTTAAACAAGGTTAACCAGTTGATCTTTGTAATGGTGAAGTGTAGTGTTTTCTTCGCGGTACGGACTGATTTATTAAATAACATTTAGACGAGATTCACCTTCATAGGGTTAAAGTGGATCGTAAAGAAACTATGGCCAATGTAGATGTTAAGATGGTTTATGAGTAATGAATTGGAAAGGAAATGTAAGGAAGAGGTTGTGGCTTATTTTAAAGTAAAGACATTTGCCTGGAGGGACTGAGGAAAGTCACTTACAACCTAGAAATGATATCCAGCCTCCGGGCCGAGGTTTTAACCCGACACCAAATGTCTTAGTTTCATGACAGATAATCGTCTCAAGAAGAAACAGTTCCCGAAACGTCGCGCGTATCAGATATATCTGAACCAGTGGACAGTGCCTAACACTGTGTGTGTGTGTGGGTGTGTGTGTCTGAATGTCATGTTGGTGGGTGTAGCAGTTAATATGATTGTTTCCTTACAGATACGGATAGGCGAATCCGGGCCAATGACCGTACTTACAACTCACAGTTTAACTACGCGGTAAGTGAAACTCCAGTGACCATTCACAGGTTGTGGTTAATTGTTTTTGTGGCTGGGTCAGATCAGCGTCCTGAGTGACACGCTACGTTTATTGGAAACTTTATCAGGTTTCGTGAAATGAATATGTTCGAATTGTAACAGGATTATTTGAGTGCAGAGAGAGAGAGAGAGACCTAACGTTTAAGCCAAGCTGATGAATGTGCCATGTGAGTACTGGGAATTTGCATTTAAAGAATTAATGAGGCGGTCGGCGAGTGCCTCGGAGGGATACTCAGACACGCAGTTCTTGTAGTATGCGGTTTCATTAACGTTCCACCCCCAAAGAAAGTTGACAGTGCGTTCAGACGGTTGTCTGTTTCAATAAAATGGACGCCTTGATTTCATACATTAATTTTTGCGACATTTCTGCTGCGTATTTTTGGGTCGTGTTCCTTATAAATTTGTGCCTTTTTTGTGAAATTTTTTTAAGAGCCTTATCCGAGAAAACTTGTTTTATGTCTAAAGCTTAATGTTCCTTACGTAAAATGTGTTCCTGCCCTAAACAGTTCTACTTTTTTTCTCGTAGATGGCATAGGCAGCTAAACATAAACATTGTTAATTTCGCTTTTGTATTAGACTTTACTGTCCGGATAACTTCACCGCCTCTGATCTTGATCGCCCAGAGGTAATGTCGGATAGATTCGGCTCACGAAAACTGAACCCTGGAAGAACATTAACCACGAGGCTGCCATTCAGAATTGTACCAGTCTGGTGAAGTCAGTTGTCTTGTTGTGGAGTTTAAGGTTTCCACGACGACGAAAGTGTGAGTCGCTGTATCCGGGATTGTGACGTCATGTAGTCTCGTAGGATGTTTGCCCGCATTTCGTAGGAACATACTGCCCCCATCTTCAGATACTGGTACCTTAAAACTGTGATTATTTATTGCAGTTTGCTCATTCCACAAGTGGTCTCTCATTCAGATGTTGGTAATTATGATTTTAAGTAGCATAGAAATTAACCTTAACCAATATTTATTTTAACATTGTCTTTACAAATCAAATTTTGGTACGAAATTAATACAATTTCTTTATAAAGGAAATTGAGTATGAAAACGTTGTCATGGAAACTGAAGCCAGATTCATACTAAATGCACCAACACAAAACCAACTGCCCGATATCCTGACTCCCGCCAAATACAGACGCCAGACCCCACCGTAGACTCATCTGCATTTTTTTTTACTATCAGTCGATGCCTTTACAACTTCATTTCAGTTTTCTTCAGTCACACAAATGGCACATTCATAGTCTTACGTGATGGGGATTGGCTGTTGTATTAGGAGTAGATTATTTGCGCTTATGTTGTGAAAAAACAGTATTATTCTTTTTATTCCTTCAGTGTCATCACTGTCACCCATTATCTTCACATTTTTGTCATTAATTCCAGTGACAATTTTGCATTGTCCTTCTCTGACTTCTACAGTCATCAGTTTGATGTCCTTTGAAATATTTTTTGACGTAAATACGTCTATAAGGAAGGGTCATTCGGCGAAAAAGGGAAACGAAAAAGTGTAACCTGGTTACCTACGAAACGTCGTGTTTACTCGGAATTGTTGTTACCTATAAAACATTTCATTACATTACCTTACCTTACATTACATTACATTACATTACATTCAGCTACCACAGACCCATCTTAAGCGTAACTAATTCAAGTTAAATAAGCAAAGTCTTAATCAAACTTTACTCAATTGTAAAGCATGTATAAAGGAAATATTTAGAATAAAGCCAATATATAAACTTCCTTTCCGTATAGACGTATTTACGTCAAATTCTCCGGAACCGTCGTTCCACTGTAACTTTTTTTTTTTTTTTACAGAACAACTACATCAAGACGTCAAAATATAGTGTGGTGACGTTCCTGCCGCTGAATCTGTTCGAACAGTTCCAGCGCCTCGCCAACTTCTACTTCCTGTGCCTGTTGGTACTGCAGGTGATTCCAGCCATCAGCTCGCTAACCCCAATCACCACTGCTGTGCCTCTCATCGGCGTCCTAGCACTCACCGCGGTGAAGGATGCCTACGACGACTTTGTGAGTAACATTTGGTGCCATCAGCATTTTTTTTACAGTTGGTCTAACCAGTGTTTTGTGTGTTTACATTATTTTTAGCAAATTATTTCACTCGAATTTTTTTATATTCTGCGGCAGCAACGTCACATGAGTGACTCTCAAGTGAACAACCGCCGGTCTAAGGCTTTACGAGATGGAAAGCTTGTGGAAGAGAAGTGGTCGGAGGTGCAAGTGGGCGACGTCATACGGATGGAGAACGACCAGTTTGTGGCAGCCGACGTGTTGCTAATTTCCACTAGTGAACCCAATGGGCTCTGTTTCATTGAGACAGCAGAGTTAGATGGGTAAGAATGGGATTGTTATTTTGAATAAGTAATATCTTATTAATTAGTCATGAGTGTTGAGACGTATCACATTGAGGGGAATGTAGAATGTTGCATGAATACTTCAATTAACTCTGCTAACTTTGTTCTAACTATGAAATCCCCCCCCCTTTTTCAGTGTTGTAATAATTTGTGGGTTATCGGGGCACGTCACTTTAAAAATAGGTTAGGTTAGGTTAGTTTAGTTGTCATTTATTGAAATAAAATATATTAACTTTCAAGTATATGTCATTTATCCACACATTAACCTAACCTAACCTAAACTAACCTAAACTAACCTAACCTAAACTAACCTAACGTAACCTAACCTAACCTAACCTAACCTACTAACCTAACCTATTTTTAAAGCGACGTGTCCCGATAACCCACTAGTACCAATTTGAGTCGCATGACTGAAAGTTCTCGCCAGTGTGTATTTACTATAATTATCTTATAATTCACAGGGAGACAAATTTGAAATGCCGTCAGTGCCTCGTGGAGACAGCAGAAATGAGTCAGGATGACTCATTATTAGGGGCCTTCAATGGGGAGATTGTTTGTGAAATGCCAAATAATCTTTTAAATAAGTTTGAAGGAACTTTGGATTGGAAAGGAAAGAGGTATGTCTTAAGTATTCATAAATTTTAATTTGTGGTACAAGAAGATGTATCGTGTTTGATAATGGTTGATCTGTCGTATCAAATTTGTAAATTCTGTTACTGTGCAGTTCATAATATCTTATGCCTGTGCAGTGAGGTGTCAAACGTACTGGATATTTAAGCAATCGAGCATCTGTGCCTTACCTACAGGTTCTCACTGGATAACGACAAGGTAGTTCTGCGTGGCTGTATCCTACGGAACACGCAGTGGTGCTACGGTGTCGTCATCTTCGCCGGAAAGGACACTAAACTCATGCAGAATTCGGGCAAGACGAAGTTCAAGCGCACAAGCATCGATAGATTGTTGAATTTCATAATTATAGGGGTAAGGGCTTAATAAAGACGTGTTAAAAAAAATGGCAGTCCCCGTCAGCAAAATAAATATTTTATTCCACTTTTTATGTTTCAAGGTCATGATGGAATTGTGTCTGAAATATCGAACTCTGGCAGATCTAAGTAGATTTGTACGAGCCGTAATAAATGTTTTTTTTCAGATTGTGTTCTTCCTGCTGTCCATGTGCCTGTTCTGTATGATAGCGTGCGGGATTTGGGAGACCATTACGGGCGTGAATTTTCAGGAGTACCTGCCCTGGGATTCGCTTGTCCCCACAGAGCCGCTCAGTGGCGCTACTATCATTGCACTACTCGTCTTCTTCTCATATGCCATAGTGCTCAACACCGTAGTGCCTATATCTCTCTATGTCAGGTATAGAAACCATAGATTATCATCGTAGTACTGGTTAAGCTCAAAGGAATGGAAAGGAACTTTCTACTTGTAAGATTTGAGGTTTTCGCAGCGGAGAGTATGAAGATTTCTGGGTTATTGCGCTGCGTAGTCTGGTAGATGTTAACCAACGTTTCGGAGGTCATACTGCCTCCGTCATCAGGGCGATGAACAAATTGGCTGACATTTCAAAAGTGGTTACTTACTGCCTCTGAAATACTGATCAGTGCAACATCCCAGAAGACTTGTCATCTTGCCACCATGAAAATCTGAAATCTCAACTATCGTAGCTTGCTCGTTAATGTAAACTTACGTACTGTTTCAGTGTGGAAGTTATTAGATTTGCACAGAGTTTTCTTATTAACTGGGATGAGAAGATGCACTACGAAAAGACCAACACGTCGGCCAAAGCGCGAACAACCACCCTCAATGAGGAACTGGGTCAAATTGAGTACATCTTTTCTGATAAGACCGGAACTCTAACGCAGGTAATCTGTTATTACTTCCCCGTTAAGATTGATTAAGACCTCACGTGGCCTCTCATGGATGTAGCTGCTCTGTATTATTCTGTGTAACTGAAATTTTTAAATATTCCCTTGAATGGGCGCAGCGTAAACATTGCACTTTGTTGATTCATGCAAAAGAAAAGTGTGTAATGGTTGATTTCAAAAAGTATGTTCGCTGAATTTTATTTTTGCGAGTCTCAATTTATTTTTTATTCCAGAAACTTTGTTTTTCTCATTGAATTTATATTTTTTTTCTTTCAGAATATAATGACGTTCAATAAGTGTTCCATCGCAGGTAAATGTTACGGCGATCTCATAGATGAAGCGACAAATGAAGTGTTGGAGATAACTGAGGTATGTTGAATTAATTTTATTCTGTTTTGAGAAAACAAATTTTTTTTTCTTCTTTCATACATTTTTAATCCCATATGTGCATATATGTATATATTATAGATATTGTTTTATGTGTACGAATAAAAATATTCTTTGTAGTTGCTTTCTGATTTTTAAAATTAGAAATGGCATGAATACATATTTGCGTGTCCACGCAAAATTTTTGACGTTATCATGAAAGATTAATTACGTACATTGTGCCATGTATGAATTGCTAAAAATTTGTCAATGTGTTTATTTAAATTCACGAATATTAAATATAGGTTTTGAAGGCCATTTCAGAAGTTTCGGCACAAGCTATAGACGAATAAGTTGGTAGATGCAATAAGTCACTACATACTTGAATCTTTCCCCTGTTTATTGTGTCTGCCATCAGAGTCGACGTACTTCTCACTGTAATCATGTGTGTTCAGATGGCGTATTGGTGCCATGACAACCTTGTTGATTTAATTTATAATATTCAGACCTGATAGAGCCACGGTGGTCTAGCGGTCAGAACGCTGGCCTTGTAATCCTGGGGTCTCGGGTTCGAATTTATAACTTGTGTTGGGCAAGGCCGTGGTCTAGGCAACATGGAGTTTTCCTCCGTGGCATCCCAACAATTACTCCATTCACACACAGAAGAAGGCAATGGCAAACCACTTCTGGATCATCTGCCAAGAACGTATATGAACAGGTCCCAGTCCGAGAAAAGGATGGAAGGATCCTGTTCATATGGACCTGTCGTCAGACAGAACACTAAAAAAATAAAATAAATTCAGACCTGAAGGGTTTGTTTTAATAGGTCAGATTCCATTCCCCCTATTAATATGGAAGAAACGCTGATACTAATTTGTTGATATATGAATGTAGGCTGTAACAGTTGTGTGACAATAAATGTATATTTTGTTGCTATCAAGAAAATTTAAATTATCTCAAAGAATTTTATATGTATCGCAAAACTGTTTTTTGAAAAGTGGGCACAAAATATATAAGGTGAAATAATACAAATAATGAAACACGAATAAAGTGTACAAAATACGTGGGTGAATACGGTATTTGTTTTGATTTGGTGACGAGAAGAAACATTTAAAGCCTTACGAATTTATATATGGAATGTTAGGATTGTCAAGTCTTTTTTAAATCTGCACCACTGTTATGTGAAATTAGATGTTTGCTTTGTACATATTTCAAGCATTTCAATTCGGTATTACTGTCGGTAAAACATGATTCAGCTAATAGAATTATATGATATCCTCCTACAGTACAGCGTACGGTGCGATGTCATTTAAAACAAATGTTTTTCACCAATTTTCATTTCAACAAAGAAGTTTTTTAGTGTTCTTTGAAGTTTGTTCTACTGATACTTCATTTAGTTAATGTCCAAGTGACAGCATATGGATTGTATATTGAAGGAATTACGGAAATAATTTCGGCGAATGACGTTATTGCCGTTAAAATGTGAACAACTAAACTGCTAGAAAAGTGGATTAAAAATTCTGTGTTTGAGGGCACGTACTTCATTGCTTATAGCAGATTTTTACGATATCTGTCGTGGCATGGCAGTGTCCCGTGATACAAAAATTACTACCGCATTGCCAGATTAAAAAAAAGAAACCCAATTATTTAAACAATCCTCAGTAACAATTTTTACCTCTTACACAAAACAAATCTTTCCGAAAGGATAGGACTCACATGTGACAAGTCCACATGCTTGCACTTGGCATCTCGATGTGCATCTTATGTTTGTGCATGTTGCCACATTTTACTTAGTCTGTCTGTTTTATCCTCATGCCTGAGGGTTGCTCCTATGCCTGACTGACTGACTGCTTGGTTGGTAGGACCTCACCGACCTCACCATGCCCTCAGTTCGGTTGACTCCCCTCTTGAGTTTCTACTCGATCCGATCGCTGGTGAGAATGAAAACATGCAGACACACGTACACACTCTTTTTATACCCAGGGGCCTGCACCCCAGTGAAACAGCTCCTTCAAACATGTTACCTGCCTCTAGGGGCTCCAAGGAGCTCGTCATTCCTTGACCTTTCTCTTTTCTTTTTTCTTCCACTTTTATGTTTTATGCAGTGGTTCCCAACTTGCCACTGGCAGTGCAGTAGCACGTTAAACTTTGTGTTGATTTGATGATATGACATGTTAAATTATAAAACTGTTGCTTCTGTTCAACGTTGTCACCACTGAAATATTATTTTAACTTCTGTTGCATAAAAACACTTACTACCAGGCCTGTGCACTATACGCTACGCATGAAATTAATGTAACACTACTCTTTTTTAAAGTTGTAAGAAGAGTTAAAAATCAAACTGTTTTGTATTTGTGCTCTTTCTTAACATACGCATTGACTACACCCAATGGAAAAGTTTTCAATCGTTGTCCAAGTCGGATCACAGCAGGCTCTGCGGAATCTGTCGTGGTTATTTCACTCGCAGAGAAAACGCTCGGTCCCATACTCCATTTTAGAATGCTCAGCAGATTCTTTAAATAGATACTAGTAAGAATCAGTACATTTTTATATATTTTTTTTTCAACTAGAAAATGAAGTTTTTAATTTTAATCAAACCCCTACATGCATAAAAAAAAATTAACATGTGAAATAACAGTATTGCCAACATTTTAACTCTTTGAATCTGAAACGATTTCTAGTAACTTCCTTTGTTTTAATCATTCCTAATTTACGTTACAAATTTTTACCCTATCTTGCACTTTGTAAGATCGCAGTTTTCTCGTAATACCAATTTTTTGGTCCATCGTTGAAGTAATATTTCTTTTATTTTGTTCGCCCTGAATGGCTTTTACAGTCTCGCACTGCAGATATACCATAAATGAGATAAGGAACTATTTCATATGTTCGCGAGTGCCAGAGAACTGGTTGGATTGGTTAGTGTGAATCCATAATTTCATCATTAATATCTTATTCGTGAATCAGTTCTGTTTGTTTATTCTGACTCCCTAATTCTGTGCTCAGAATTGGTCTCTCTGTCTTTTATATACCCTTTTCTTTAGAAGGTCACTGGTGGGTTGCTCCGAAACAACACAGATAAGAGTGACTTGCCGGTGGGCTGAACGTGTGGTCTCGTCTGTGGTTCAATTAACATTTAATCCCTCTGCTTTGTGCTTATTGATCAGAAATCTGTTTACTTAAATTTTCCATCATGCAGATGAGCTCTAGGTATTATAGTTTGCTAATTAGCATTTGTTTAAATTGTAATGATTAAATAGATTATTACATCAGTCAACATTTGTTAAAGGATTCTCCAAATATGGTATAATGAACAGAAAACGTAAAGAAAAATCTGTGTTTAAATTACATAACGTGATGGCACTCATCACATGATTTTGTGGGAGCGAAACATGATCATTAAATAACTGAATGACGTCTTCATATATGAACAGGGTGGTATATATAAAATTTAAATTGTGGGTGTGTGTACGTTTGCTTATAGTTTGAGAACGGTTATATTGATTTGCACCAAACGTTGCATGCTTCTCCCTTGGGACGACAAAGAGATCTTAGAAAGGTGAAAACTCCCAAAAAATTATCCTTTGCTGCGACTGTACATCATGGTGGCAATTCTGGGAACCACTGACTTCACATATCCATGGAATAACTATTTGCATTGCATTTAATTGTTCTCAGAACTTAACTGATCTGCTATTAAATTGTAGCACAACAACGCATTATTAATTTTAAATTTAGAAGTTTTTAAAATTTTACTGGTTTCTGGACTTGAATCATACGACTTCATTGTCTTAAAGTGTAAAAAAGGAACTATTTATTAGCAATGTTCTATTTCTTCATAGTTATTCTAACCATATTAACCATTTCATAGTTACATTGAAATCGTAGCTGTTTGGTTCCATCAGATCAAGTTTAATTCCTTAAGGTATTTCAATTTCAAATCTTGTAGATGCAAAATAAGTGCATCACATTAGAGAATTTTCAGTATCTTACATTTTCAGTTTACAGTTGTCTGAAACTTATAGTTATTATTGATGATTTTATTTCAAGTATTTACAAACTATTTAAATTGTACCTGTGAATAAATTGCTTCCGGAGAGTAACGAATGCCCTGTGGATGTACATAGCAGGGCATTACAGAAGTAGTAGCAGCTACACTGTTCATTGTTTTGTTAAAACATCGTAAATTGTGAAGTAACAGCTATTTTATATTCAGATCGTCAAATTATCGGCATTGGTATCTTTATTTTTCTTTTATGATTACTTGTGTTCTATGAGACGTGATTAAATTTAACAGAAAGCTGAATTATCAGCCTTTATGAAGTGATTATATTACTTTGGATAATTCAATTCTTTAACAGGATTAGAATATATTTTATAAAACACTAGTAAACATGACTGGATAGATTGATGGAACTTGTTATGTAGCAGTAATTATTAGTAATTTTGAGGTTAATGTTTTGGAAATGTCATGCACTTTATAATTGCATGATTCACTTTTCATGTTGTACATTTAGATGCACAAACTAGATGCAAATGGTACTTCAAAAATTATTATACCATGTTTTTACTTTATAATACTGCATCTTACATTTTGAATGGTAGCATCTCTGTATGAGAATCTTATTCATTCTGAGCATGTGAATGGTATTTTGTACATTAAACTTAAATGCTTGGCTGGGTTTAATGTAATATAGCGTAACTCAATCTCTAACCCTCCCACTGTTGAGAAGGAAAAAATGTCTGGTGCCTGGTTGTCAGAATTTAGACACATTTGCAACATGGCTCTGTAGCCCTTGAATGACCTTGACTACCTTACAAACAGGAGATTTCTTAGAGTGTTTCAGACATTTGGTAGGGCTCCTTAGATGAGTGATCAGCCCATCACAAGGTCTTTCTGCTTACACAGGAAGATGTGGATGAACATCCATGCCTAAAGCAGGAATTGAACCCACCCAGTGTCCAAGCAAACAAGGCTGATGCCCCAGAATGTTTGGTCACTCTGACCGTCACATTCGTCCCTGCACGTATAAACACAGACTACGTCTGTAAATTTAAAACTCAGTTTATAAGTAAGCAAAAAATTCAGCCTGATGCTGTCTGTATTTTGTGAAGCTGTTCCACTTTTTTTGTATTTAATTTTATAACTTTGAAAAGTTAGTGTTGTAACATCATTATGATGGAAATTTATCTCTGGAGATAATAAATATCTTCAGCTTTCACATTTAATGTACAAAGTGTAATTTTGTTTCTATATAGAATACACCACCACTGGACTTCTCCTGGAATGAGAACTTTGAGCCTGAGTTTCGTTTCTACGATTCTTCTCTGTTGGCTGCAGTTCAGGGGAACAACCATGATGTCCACAGCTTCTTTCGTGTGCTAGCATTGTGCCACACTGTCATGCCTGGGGAGAAAAATGGTATTTGATGAACAGTTAACCTCGTACCCAATTTGAGCCCCATAATTTTATTATTGTATGTTTACGTCGGCAGCAGTCTCCCAATCTTTCTGAGCTTTTTGGCTTCATCCTACACCTACCTTCAGGTTTGTAAGCCTTTGTATTTTAACCCTGGAGATGGAGGCACCATGCCCTAGGAAACTTTGGTGTATAACCACAAGACTTCATATCGTAACATAACCTCACTAGTTTTATTGTATTGCAATGTCATAGTTGTAACATTCTGAAGTGTTTAAACAATCAGAATATTGTGTGAATATTAAAGGAGGCTGGAATTTTTTCCCCCCCAGGTAAATTGGAGTACCAAGCTCAGTCACCAGATGAAGCAGCATTAGTTTCGGCTGCACGAAACTTTGGTTTTGTGTTTAAGGAACGTAGTCCTAACAGTATCACAATTCAGGTAAAGTAATAATATCTCAGAATGTCTTGTGTATGCGGAAAATAGTTTTAAAATTGAGGAGTGTACAAACAAATTAAGAATTTTTATCTTAAAAAATTTCATCATAAGTCTTGCGAGCATGCTAAGGTAATAGGTATGATTGTTTCGTACAGAGAAATATAAATAACGCGGTGATTACCGTTATTAAATTATTATTATGAATTATTGTCATATGTTTACAGCTACATGCCAAAAGAATTTTTGCTGTGTTCTGCGTAAATAACGATCACGTGTCTTTAATGTTTTAACAGGTTATGGGAAAACGAGAAGTATATGAATTATTATGCATTCTGGATTTCAACAATGTGCGGAAACGAATGTCGGTAATTCTGAGAAGGAACGGGCGATTACGACTGTACTGTAAAGGAGCTGACAATGTTGTCTATGAAAGACTTAGAGCTGATAGTTGTGAAATCAAAGTGAAAACTCAGGAACACTTGAATGTAAGTAAAGTATAAAACTTTAAAATAAAAATTAGGTACTTAAATTAAGATAAATGAAAAGTAAAACGTGATGTTTGTATGTTGCAGAAATTTGCAGGCGAAGGCTTGCGTACATTGTGCCTGGCAGTGCGTGACCTGGATGATGTGTTTTTTAATGACTGGAAACATCGACACCAGGAAGCAGCACTGTCTCTGGATAGTCGTGACGATAAGCTTGACGCTATTTATGAGGAGATTGAACGAGATATGACGTTGATTGGTGAGTTGGTGCTAAAGATGTGGTGGGATTCACAAAATATTGAGTCAGGCCTGCAAATAGGTGTAACCAGACCTTCACACAAATTAATTATATAAATAAATAAAGTGAAGTTTTCACATTTGTTACAGACTTCCTGAGTCTTGATCTTTGTCGTACTGTAAAAAATAATGCAAATATTACTGTTCTTATTATCAGAATATGGTCCAAATTTTTATAATTTTTCTTCTCCAGGTGTGACTGCAATTGAAGACAAATTGCAGGATGGAGTACCTCAAACAATAGCAAACCTTGCATTGGCTGGGATTAAAATCTGGGTGTTAACGGGTGATAAGCAAGGTGAGTGAACCTTAAGAACAACAAATTTTCACTCTCTCATAAAAAAGTTCTGTGTTCCATTGTGATTTAATCATATCCCGTAACACGCAACATGTGATAAATACAACATTTATTTTAAAATCTAAAAACAAAATTATTAGTTTGGTGACATAATTTAAATTCTTTGTCATGTACTTTATTGTAATTATCATCTCTATATAAATATTTTTATAATTTCAATGTTTTCTCTGTGTATTTCCATTTATTTTGTATTGACTTATGTCGCATTACATCAGAGTCGTTTTAAAAAAAAAATCTACGATATGCGCACACAATGTTTTGGTAAGTTGCATGTTTGCTATATCTCAGGATAAGTATTATTTTATGTTCTCTGAATTAGCACCATCTTGTATTGAACTGGTTGCAGAAACGGCTATCAACATTGGCTATTCTTGTCAACTCATAACTGATGAGATGGCAGATATCTTCATAGTTGATGGACACACGTATGATGACGTGGAAACGCAGCTATCAAAGTTTCGGGAGTCCGTGCGCAGTGCCGGCTTAGGGCATGGAGGTGCCCCGACAGGAGCTGCCGCGTCGGCACCGACTTCTGTCAGCATCGTCACTTTCAGGTGGGACCAGCACAGGTAGCTACAGCTAAGGCAGGCAGATGCATGCATGCTTACTCGCTTTCCACATATGCACCGGCAAAGGTTAAGTCTGATATTTCAGAGAAACCAATCATCCTTTATTGTCTGTGGGTCACCGCTTACACGCAGTCCAGCTGACCATGCGTCACAGTGGCATGCCACTTGGCTGTTAACCTTGAAGTTAAAGTCTGATGAAGGTGGATAGAGAAATACTGAAAGCATCATTAAAAAATCCACAAATAAATAAATATTTTTCAGTTCGTCATTCCAATCTTCTCATTAAATGTAATGTTTCAGGGATATTCACTTTATGTTCTGATTTTTTTATTATAGTGAGTCTGAATACCAACGTGGCCTCACTGTAGAAGAATCGGATACCAGTGGAGGATTTTCCATTGTCATTAATGGTCACTCTCTTGTCCATGCGTTACACCCCCAGATGGAGAAGCTGTTCCTTGAAGTGTCTAGCCAGTGTGAGTATTCCTATGCTTTTCATTTTGTTAAGTGTTTTAATAGTGCGCTGTGTCGGCAGTTTAACTATTTATTTATAGGTTATCTAATTACGCTGTCCCGCGCCTTAGCTGCACAGTCTGAGGCATCATGCTTCGGGCCTTTTTTTGACCACACGCCACCCTATATCTGGTTGGATGATCGTTCACCTCTGCTTAGGCATGTGAACACGAGGCCAGTCGGCTCTGGCTCTCTGGAGCTGTTACGCCACGGATTTATTTTATTTTTTATCTAATTACACAGTAGTTAAGACTATGCAGCACCGATTGATGTGATAACTAATGAATTGGAAAGGATGTAGAAAGAAGCATATGTAATATCCTAGCACGCACCATGTAGTCCGGTGTAGGTTTACTGATATTTCAGAGGTGCATGCTGCCCCCATCATCAGGGTGATGAGTCATGGCACAACAACCCAGAAGACAGCCATCTTCCATTATTAGTGTTGATGTTGTTATTTAATGTTTTTTATTTTTAGGCAAGTCTGTGATCTGCTGTCGAGTAACCCCATTACAGAAAGCGATGGTGGTTGAACTGATTAAGAAGAGCAAGAAGGCAGTGACGTTAGCTATTGGAGATGGGGCTAATGATGTTTCCATGATCAAAGCAGCACACATAGGAGTGGGTGTCAGTGGACAGGAAGGCATGCAAGCTGTCCTAGCATCAGATTATTCCATAGCCCAATTCCGATTTCTGGAGCGCCTGCTGCTGGTACATGGCCGCTGGTCGTATTATCGAATGTGCAAGTTCCTGCGATATTTTTTCTACAAGAACTTTGCCTTCACCCTCTGCCACTTCTGGTTTGCTTTCTTCTGTGGTTTTAGTGCTCAGGTAAATTCTGTTGAAATATTCTAGTGGGACCTGCAGGCAACTGCTTTTTTACTTTAAAAAAATTATGTAAAACTGTTCCTGTAAAAAAGATGTGATTTAAGAAATAGGATTATATGTGCAAGTGACGATGCATGTTTGAAGGTATGATTTTTACACGTTTTGAAGTTTGAGGTATGTGACCATTGTCAATAAGTCGAGCGTGTACTCAGACATTTCTTTTGCAATTAGTTTAAATTTAAAATGAAATTTTTGTAAATTTTTAGAATGAACCACGGTCCATGGGTGAAATAGAATATTTATGTTATACCTGTATGCTTTGGTATTTTCTAACCGCCTGTGTACTGCAACTGCTACTACATATTAACTTCATTTTAATTTCTTACATTTGTCTTTCATTGTTTTGTTACAGACAGTATTTGATCCCATGTTTATATCTGTGTACAACCTGTTCTACACGTCATTACCGGTGCTGGCACTAGGTATTTTTGACCAGGATGTGAGTGACCGGTACAGTTTATGTTACCCTAAATTGTACACACCAGGTCATTGTAACCTTTTGTTCAACAAGAGGGAGTTTCTGCGCAGTGCGCTACATGGTTTCTTCACATCTTGTGTCCTGTTCCTCATACCATATGGTAAAGTAGCCTAATCAAATAGCTGCATTTTATTTAATCAATTATTGAAAATTTTCTGTTCATAACTGGACCAATTTAAACATGTTTGCAGAGCAGTAGTGGCTGAACAGATAGCAGAATTATCTTTGTAAGATTTGAGGTTTTCACGGCGGTGAATATGAAGATTTCTGTCATCTGGGTTGTTGCGCTGTGTAGTCTGGTCGATGGTTACCAACATTTCAGAGGTTATACTGCCTCCGTCGTCAGGGCGATTCGTCGCAACAACCCAGAAGACAGAAAGCTTCATAAGTATCTTTGTTTGTAAACGGCAAATGTGTGAATCAGTCAAGCATGTATATGCAAACTCCAGTACTGGTAAGTGTGCAGTCGAGTTCCACCGATCTGCGACATAATTGCATCTCTTGTCTTTCTCTCCATAAGGTACATACAAAGATGGACTGTCGCCCGCAGGTCACGTACTATCAGATCACATGTTGCTGGGTAGTGTGGTTGCTACGATACTGGTTATTGTTGTCACAGCACAGGTTAGTTTTTGTCACATTGAATCAGCATTTATTTTATTTTTTGCCATAAAGCTTCTCTAAATGACATGAAACTTTAACCTCATCTTTACCATGTGCTACCTTCTCTATGCCAAAAATTATAATTATTATATTTTTGTTACGCAAATGTCAAATAAGGTAAAAGGTATGCACCAAGTATTTAGATAAAAAATTGTTTTGTCTTAAATATTATTCATGTGCCATTTTTAGGATCGTATTTTGTCATGCATGGCACGTGTGCCACACGACACCACAGATCTACACATTTAGTCTTCATTTTTCAACAGTAATATATCTTATTCCACCACACCAAAGCGAGTCATGTCATTACATGTATGTAAACTGGATGTCATTTCCCGTAATATTATTTGCAGATTGCGTTGGATACCTCATACTGGACATTATTCAATCACATCATGATTTGGGGTTCCTTAATCTGGTACTTTGTGCTCCAGTATTTCTACAATTATGTCATAGGTGGCCGCTATGTTGGCTCTCTCAGCAAGGTATGTGCATGTAGTTTCACTGTTACATGCACACGCATGCAGGAAAATATACTCTAAGTTGGTCATATAATTAATTGGGACTTTAAACTGATTAAAATGTACCAGTTAATGTAGCATGTTAAATAAAATCATTTGAAATCTGAGGCTATTGAGTATGTTAAAAAATATGTTTTATATTTGTTTGTTGCATACTGAATAATGAAGTAACTTGATATGGAGTATTCTGTAACTAACTGAGAAATTTCCTGTTATTATTGAGGTTAGAATTATCACTGTCTGTACAAAATCCGGCTGTTCGATCCTATGAACACTGTTTCTAATTTGTATATTTCTTGTTAAAATGCAGGCAATGACTGAGGCAACATTCTGGTTCACAACTGTGATAACAGTTATCATTTTAATGATACCAGTCTTGGCCTGGAGGTTTTACTTCGTAGATGTTTTTTTTGACAGGGTCCGCCTCAAGCAGAGGTTAGCTCAACTCAGGTACGTTGGAAGTTCTTTATCCCATGGGGTGTTTTTACGCAGTCCGATACTGTGGGTGTTTGGTTATCGGGATTGTTGATTCCTTTCACATGCTCCAATATTAGTTTTACTGTACATATGCCCATATTAATACTGAAGTACAGCATTGCTGTTTCATTCTGTCCCTTGAAGCTTGAAGAAATTTATAGATATTGAAAAGGAAAAGACTTGTGTCAACTATTTCAATAGGAGATGCAATGTGGACCACTAAACTATGGAAACATGCGAGTCTGTTTGTGATATTAACAGTAACAGTCTTCATGATATTTATGTATAATTTATTTAACGATGCTTTTTCAGTAGATCAGACTATGTAGTGTCGAGTCTTCATGCTGCGTCACGTGCGGTCAGTGAATGCTTGCAATTTATGTACCCTGCTTAATGAAATTGGTGCGTTGTCAATTACATCAGAAGCACGCATATTTCTTTGTGTGTTTTAGGTCTCGGCAGTCACAGGATGTCTTGCGCACACCATCAGCAAGGCGAACCAGACGCTCGATACGCTCTGGCTACGCCTTTGCACACCAGGAAGGTTTTGGACGTCTCATCACATCTGGTAAACTCATGCGCAAATTGCCACGTCCCAATGGTGGTGACTTCTTTTTCCCCTCTTTCAACAGTCATGCAAGTGGACCCTCTAATAGCGGGCACATGACGACCACGTTGGATATCGGCATGAACTGAGGTTAGGCCGTATCTTAACGCTGAAGGCATGCCTTGATCCGGCTGAAGCCAAATTATGGGGAAGGAGTCTGTGAGGCAGTGAGTGAACTGTGTGATTTCATACAGCTGTATTTGTGCTCTGCCACCCATTAATAGAGAAAAGTACTTCTGTTGAAGTTTTATGCACATTTCTTCCCACACTGCAGTAGAGAAGAATATTGTGACGGTACTGTTCAGCTTTTAATTATGCCCGACACATGTAAAATATTCGGAAAAGAATTAATGCCATATATATCATCACAACTAAATAATACCACAAACACAAATATTATTGATACCTTGTGATATTCAATTTAACTACAGCTGTTTTGGATGTATACAAAAAATATTCTTAACATGAAAACAGCACAAAATAGTCATGTGTATATACTGTAATGAATTACAAATACATTCTTTTTCTAAGTATTTGATCAACTCTTTTTACAACATTGTCACATAATAGTTCATGGTGCATTAAAGTAAACCCTGATGATTCAGAGGGAAAGATTAAAAATATCAAATGCTACGTAACTTTGATAAATCATTAAGTTTTTGTTGGCATTGATACCAGCTCCATAACCCTACCTGGCAATGGCCTTTCCTCCATTTTTGTTATAATACCTAAAGCTTGGAATTAATATCCAGGGTCTATTACTTTTTTTTATTAAAGACAAGCAAGTTAAAATTGGTATCATTACAAAGATATTTTTATAAAACATGGAATGTGTATTAATATGATCAAACATTTCTAATAAAGTGAACTTTTTTTTTTGGCAATGATCTGGAGTGAAACATTTCATAAAGGTTATACTTATGCAAAAATTAAAAAAAAAAATGAAACTGCATAATATTGTGTTTGTGTAAATTTCCAGCATGGCATAGCTATATTTGTATCATTCAAGTGTTGCATTTATTTTCGTAAAAGTGACCGTGGTGCTGGGGTAGACCGAGTCTCCCTGCATAATATATTTTATTAATAATCCTCGCTCCTGAAAACAGGTTATGCACATAAAAAGACACTAACGTAACATTCATTGTTCCTATAAGTTGACGCAGGACTAAATAATGTTTGAAGCAATGCCAGATGAAAGAATCACCTTGGACCACTGAATATATCAGGTCCTCCGTACCATAATGGTGCTCGAGTGTGGTGTAAAGTTCATGACCTTATTCATTCATCTGTGCTTAATGTGTGTGTGTGAAGTGACCAGTAAAGAACGTAAAACATGAAGAGCTGCAGTCCATCAGTATTGAATATAGTTTGTGGCATTTACCGTGTGGACTTGTGCGAAGAGTTTGTTTGTGCATGGTAGTAAACAAATTTAATGACGAGCAGTCCGCAAGAACAAAGAATGTCTTGTCTTAATCATCTGTGAGTATAAATTGCATTATAGGACTCTGTAATCTAATCAGATATTTTTGTAGTTTAAAAATGTGGGTCAATGTTACCGGTATTACTCGTATAAATTAATTTTTCATATTTTTAAATAACAAAGTGGAATTAATTGACAAGTGATACTCGATATATAAGATGATTTAAGGAATTATCTGTATTTGTAAACCACTGGTAAAAGTATTTGTACACACAGCATTAATAATGCATAAGTGTTATACATTAATCACAGAGCAACATTAGGGATTGTCCCCCAAAATACCCTTTTTTTTTGCATTTAATTTCCAGTTTGGTATACAAATTTGTGTTATAAAAATAGGAAGGCTGATCATATTTCTGTGCTTTGAGGAGGGGACTAATCAGTTTGACTGATGTTGGGACCACTCGGAATAAAAGTGTGGCTTCAGACTGTTTATTGGTAATACTGAAGACACGCTGTTATCTGTCTGCACCAATATCTGTAATGTGACGTACTCGACACTCGACAGAATTTTACAACACTAAGAACTATAGTATATGGCTTTAGAATTTAAATATCCTTTATTTTATATGTTAGATGGTTGGTAAGCATGTTTTGTTTCTAAACAAATCACAGAAAATCTGAACAAATATTTGAGTTTTTATATTTTTATTTTAAATACTACGTAACGTTTGCCTGATTTTTGTGCGCTTGACATGTCCCAGCAACTTGCATTTCATTAGAGTTTTGGAAATCTGCTCTCAGAATTTCTATGTTTAATCCTTGCTTTAAAAGGTTTATTTCCCACATTAATTTGTTTCATGTGTTCTTTTTGTTTGTCCCAATTAAATCTTTGTATGCATAAAGATCATATAATCTTATAATTATTTTCAAATGATAACATGATTCGTACTTCCTTGTTTAATTTGTAATCCCTAGAAGATGCCTGAGATACCATGTCCCAAAATTGTATAGAAACATAATTATCATTCCCTTGTCATTTATTAAGATATGGCAGTTCAAAAATTAATTTTTGAATGGTATTGGTGCAGACATAGACTGTATTGCATAGAGAACATTTATATGCCGGAATTATTTATTCTTGAATAAAAGTACATATTCACAGTTTCTGTTCTGAAAAATCATTTAATAATGTTCATGGGAAGCAACTGTGAAATTTCTTTTATTAGTTAACATGTTTATTAAATTCATAATATAATACCAAAATACTTTGGAACATGTACATCCTGCCATGTAAAATGGGATGAGAATGTATCGCACATGAAACTGCCATGATCTTGCTATTCATTGAAATAATTTTAATTTATCTGTGAAAAGGAAAGATGTTATTTATGGCTGTTGGAAAAATGAAGATAGATATATCTATATATATATATATTGCATTGTTATTTTTTTAACATAGGCTTCATGGCTGTTGTTATTTGAGAACTATCTCTGTTTTTGTTATTAATTGTGATTCTGTGAAAGTTTCCTTTGATGCAGTGAGCAATCTTCATAACTGTATTATATTTGATTATGGAGAATGAAGAAAGTTTCCTTCACTGTACCTGGCTATGGAAATGTATTATAACCATTGCCCCCAGAGGAAATATTGCTATACTGTGTATCATCACATAACATGAGATAGTTCTGGAGGATTTTACTTTCTTTGCCTTTATCAGTATTGTTGAGTCACAACAATGTACTTAGTTTTTTTTTTAATCTGGTATGCTGGAGCTGAAGTGGGGATAAACGTGTATATAAATGTTATTCATTGTACAGGTATGGACACAGCTGTGTCACATCTGTTGCTGTAAATGTTTCCTGATGGTGCTTTGAGTGATAAAAAAAAAATGCAAAGCCCATTTTTCTGTGCTGTAATCCAAGTTTCATACTAATTTTTAAGTTGACAGTAAAATCTGAAGAAAAAAAGTTGTATTTTCCGAATATGTGAATGGTGTTCACATTTTATTTTGCATGCTTACGAGAAAACCATCTAAATTTTATGCTATGAAGATCATATGTCTGTAACATGCCCCCTTCCCATCTTCTTTCTAAAAATGTAAAGGATAAAATATATAAAACTATATTTTTTTTCTGTTATATATGGGTGTGAAACTTGATACAGGAGGCTGGTGAAAAAAGAAGCCTCTAATTTATACTCTTCACCATATATTATTAGGATGATCATATCAATGAGATGGTCATGTAGCACACATGGGAGATGTGAAATGCATACAATATTTTAGTTAGAAAAGAGACCACTTGCACTGGTACAGATGGGAGGATAATATTAAAATAGATCTTATAGAATCTCAGTGTGTGCTTCGAACGTAATTCATCTGGCTCAAGATAGGGTCCAGTGGTAGATTCTTGTGAACACAGTAATGAAAGTTTGCATTCAATAGAAGTCAGAAAAATGTCTATGACTCGTTGAGCAAACGTTAACTTCTCAAGAATGTTTTTTGCTACATGGAGTTCGTCCTTTCAGCAAGTTTGAGATAAAAATAGTATCATTTTGAACTTTCAGCTAACAAATTTCTTTCCCTGAAGGGCTGTAGGGGGCTGGATGCACAGTATGGAACTTGTACGTAAATGTCATCGTACCTTCACATTGCATTCCATTCTTTAAATAAGGCAGTATAACCATTACATCTGATGTGAAGGAAATGGCACTACCAAATTAGGTTAAAACTAGGTCATAAGTTCAATATATGAGTTTTGGTTTGATTCATTTGTTACAAATAAGCAGTGAAAATAAGTTAATATACTTCAACATCAAATTAGCCATTGCGTACATAATTTATTGACTAGATCTTATGTTAAGTATTTGTGAGAACTTTCAGAACATTGTTTTTAATTTGCTTAACTTTTTAAGACTTATACAACCCTTTACCCTCGAAACAGCAAATTATAGGTAGTGCTTTGCCCAACGTACATTTTGAAGACACAAGATATCACATAATACATAATTTACTCATCATATAAGACATAAAAAAGTTTATACAAAACAATTCATACAAAGTTTTGTTATATTTCATCACAATATGACAATGTAAAATTTATAAACAACCTTCTGAAAAATTTTCTTCGTTTCTCCTAAGTGGAAGCCGCTGCTAGAACACCAGACGTTTTGTATGGGAAACTGCAAGAAAAATATATAACAATTTAAATTTTGTATGATCACTATGGATCCAGGAAAATTGATTGGTAACAGTAAAACTGGCATTTGTAGAATCGCTCAAATAATTCTTTCGGGGAAAAGAGCTACATCATAGTCTTTTTCCTCTCCAAGCAAGTAACCCTTGCAGTTTAACCACCGAATAATTCATTCTTTGTTTGTGCAATTTTCAATGAAATACAACCTCCATCTGCTGTTTCTAGGAGTTTCCTCTTGAGGTTAGGCTTCTCATGATCATCGCTGCGACATATGGAAGAGGGAATTGGCAACTGTGAACCCTGCGTAGGAGCCGGCTTGTTGCTGCCAAAACAATATTACTTTATCAATGCCATACAGTTATCAGAACATCACATCTGCACATATAACCAAAGTGCATTAATAAAAGTTTTTAAAAATGATTTTTTTCTGTTATTCACATGTGGGTCCAAAACATTTCACCGGGAATTCTGGTCAAGCTCTTTGAACCATTACGTATAAATCTGTTGTAAGATCTTGCTTCTTACATTTACCTTCTTAATATGCTGAAAATGTTTTCCCTAGAATCTCCATTTTGTCACCAGTTTAAATACTACTAATATATTATTACATCGACTTAGTTGGGTGTGTTGTGGTATTAAGAAAGGCGTTAACCCTGCCATGTTAATAGAGATTTCAGGTTTTCATGGTGGTTACGATGATGTTCGTCTTCTGGGTTATAATGCGACATGAAGATCATACGAGCGCCCACAGTGTTATAACCCAGAAAAGCAACAAACAAAATATTCTATTCTGTGCTAACCTGAAATAAGGAGCCTGCAATGCCTCGTGACAGTTACATCGGTCGAGTGGGGAAATGGACAACAAGTGCGCTAACAGGTCAAGCAGATCATCTCCTGCTGCTGTGAATATGTGGCGCAGTGGTGTCCCAGGAAATGTTTTGAATTGGATAAAGTCTGGCAATTCTTTTACGTTCTGTAATGAATAATGTTCAGTTGAATAATAAACACACGAGTGCAAAGATTCCACATGCATGTTTTGTAATTTGTATCTCCCATTGGCCCTGATATTAATTTACTTCAAATAGAAATGTATTACTGACAAACTAAACTGTAAATTATAGGCATATATTAACTTCTTTAAATATATACTATATTGAAAAATGTTCATATACTAATTACAGATGGAGTGACTGCTATCTATAATTTTTTAAGGTAATTATTTTTAGACTAGACATGAGGACAGAATTTCATCAACTCGTCATGTTAGACTCCCAAACATCAAATTTATTTTAAATCTTCCCAAAAATTCCAGAGAAATTGAACAATAACCATGACCTCCTTTGGTTCTTTCCATGCACAGAATATGCAAGTGCACCCACACTTGGTCTATCATTCATATTGTCATTACAAGTATCGTAATACTAACAGGCCATGTCTCGTCTGTGGGGGTACCAAGTACTTGAAAGATACGTGTCAGCTGATCTAAGTCAGAGTCGCCAGGAAGGAACGGAACTCGAAGTAGTAACTCTGCCAGGATACAACCAATAGCCCACATATCGATACCTGCTCCATACATACGTGCTCCAAACAACAACTCTGGTGCCCTGAGGAGGAAACTCATTAAAATCACTCTTGAATATTCAACTTTATAAATTTACTGCTATGGAGGTTTTAATTCTAGCTCTGACTTTGTGATATCCATTCATGTGTAAGAAGCATGCAGAGATATAAAGTCTCCATAGTATATTCTGTATGTTTTCATTTTAGAAGCATAGCCTTAAACGTCAATAAAATACAATGATAAATTTCCTTGTACTTTTAACATTTTGGCATATACCTGAATTAATAAAGAAATAGAAAAACCAATGTCCCTTACCTGTACCACCTTGTTACGACCTGGTGAGTATACACACGACTGGGAGAGCCATGAAATTTGGCCAGACCAAAATCTCCAATCTTGAGAACACCATTACTATTTACAAGTAGATTATTTGGTTTTAAGTCCTATGAAAAAGTTAAAAAATATACATAAAGACTAATATCCTTATTCACAAAAAGACACAGAAGTCATCCTACTAAAGAGAAAAACAAACAAATGTAAGTTACAAATACCCTGTGTAAAATCCAATTAATATGGAGATATTCCAAGCCCTGCAATGTCATTAGCAAGTATGCTTTTATATTAGCAGGTGTTAATACAATGTTATTGTCCTTAATAATTACTTCAAGATCAGTATCCATGAAGTCAAATACAAGTGACACATTAGATTTGTGTCCAAACACATCTGTAAAAGATCAAAAGCACAATCAAATTTTATATGCAGATCAGTCACAATATAAACAAATATCTGGATTTTAAGAATTATATACACAACATAAATTAATATATAATCAACATATTCATTTTCCTTTCATTTGTTTATCATGATTCTAAATTTGATTTTTCTAGTTGAAGAAAATAAACCAATTTAAAAGAGGTTAGGCCTCCTGCAATAATTTATCACTTATTCTCCTAAGTTCTTATCCAGAAAACAAATGAAAACAAGGATTACAGTTTCAAATATGCTTGTGTTACGGTTTATACCCATTAAGTTGATAATATTAGGATGTTTTAACTCCTGTAGTAATTTTATCTCTCGAAGAGCAGTTCTGTTAATTCCATCCTGCGCTTCTGCTCGACTTCCAAGTTTAATCTGAGAAACATAAGAATAAAAATGGTGTACTGATTGCCCCTGAAACATTTCCTTATTGTATAATGTAATGACACTGTAAAGTTATAAAAATTATGTTACTTTTAACCTGTGACATGTTAACAAGTGTCATACTCATGAATGGAAAGTCACTTATTAGTTTAGTCCTAATAATGACACAATTTACCTTCTTCACTGCAACTATTGTGTCATTTACTGAATCTCGTGCTTTGTACACTGTAGCAAACTGTAAAAGAGTAATATTAAAAGTATAACAATCATTGAGGTTATGTCATTACTACATAATGGTATAACATAAAATGAATTTAATCAAACTAAGGTGTATTTAACGACATCATAATATATTGCCATCTCAATAAATGCTGCATATTTGGGTTTTTAATAACCTGGCCTTCTCCCAAAAATTCTACTTTTTCATAGCGTTTTAACTTATCCTCCATCGCACAACCTATTTATCTATGTCAATGATATCATCCGGTGTCAATCAGGGTAGCCACACTTGTGGATGCTACACAGCATGTGTTCCATCAACGAATAAGCCTTTTCTATTTCATGCTATGAATATATGCTGGAGGAAGGAGGTTCGATTCCCAGAAGGAACAAAAAAATTCATCTTGTCACTGTTGTGCCAAGACTATGGTTGCACGAATTATTAGAAACAAGTAGTACGAACATAGCGACAATGACCATATGTTCATTTTATATTAATATAGTAATATTTCGAGAAGTAAAGTTATCTATGGAATACAGGGAAGGATCTGTGGAATAGACTGAAAATGTGAGTAAGGTTGTATCGTCTGTGATAATACGTGTTGTGAAAGCGTTCGGTTATCTGAAATGCGTGTTACGTTTTAATGTAGAAGAAAAATAGTTGGAAATCGGTATATAATAATGCTAAAAGCTGTGTTTTCGCAATACAGGCGAGTTGCTGTACCAGGAGGTAATGCATTATACATTGGTCATTGTATGTATGTACAAAGTTACAGTTCACCAAGGAATCAGAGTTTGAATATGTAACAACATGTAGCATGATATAAAATGTATTTGTTTCGCTGTGTAACGTATTACAGTTATTTCATCATGAATGCTAATGTCTCCATAAGTCACACATCAGAATTCTGTAAATGAATCATCATGCCATGTGATGTACAAGTATTTTCAAATTAATACCAAGACACTAGTATATAATCACTACTCTCACTACAAAGCAATTTGTGAAACGTTTGTAACACATAATAACTAACCATTGTCAGTAGCCATAATAGCCAAGACATTTTGTGATAATTTATAGTTGAAATCATTATTTTAGATACTGTGGTGAACGTCATGCAGTTAACATAATTAAACCACATTCATGGCAATGTTAAAATTTTATACTACAAATTGCTCTGTTGAATTATACAGATATTCATACTGAATTTGTACACTGGACTTCTGTTTAAGGAGTCAAGTGGTAGGGTAGTCAATCAAAAAGTTGGTTAATCTGAACTTCCATATTTTGCATGGCAAAACTGCTTTGAAGTATGGGAAATGGGGTTTGAAAATATTCTGAGACATGTCAGAACAAGGTATTTAGTAATGAACAGTATACTTGGAAATAAAATTTAACAGCAATCATTTTCAGATCTGAATGCCATTATAAAGGTCAAAAAGCTTTTAAAACACACAAATAAAAGAATTTAACGAAGAGACAAATATAATGGGTAAATATTAGAATAATACATTTACCAAAGGAAAATAAAATAAAAATTCTTGACTGAACTTTTGGTTATTGTATTTACCATAACTGAAAATTGACAAGCAGATAAATAGAATCACTTTTCAAAAGCTGATGAATAGATTGTTAATTAAGGGAGAAGCCATTGTATTTATAGTAGCGTCTGCAGTCATAAGCATCTATTTATGTGTTGCATGTTACTAAAAAAACTACAAATAAACAAGAATTTGCTGCCAATTCCAGCCTAGCCTTTCATTTTCTAATATGTAGTACTTGAAATAGAGAAACTGTTATATTTTCATCTGCACCAAAAACATTTCCTGTAAAACATGTCTATAGAGACTTATACCAGATTTTATCTATGTACCTGAAAAATTATTTTGATTTACAATTAAATATTCA